TAATGTAAACTATGGAAAATACATCTATAGAGGGGGGAAAACAGATTATTCAGGGCCAATGAACTGGGGCAGGAAGAATTTTTTTTGGCTTCCCTCTCTTCAAATAAATCACTGATAAAACCAAAGGGGCACGTCTTCACTCGCCGTGCCAGAGATCTACGTTCTGGTGTTCAGTTTAGCAGGTCTAGTATAGACCCATACATTGAATGCTGAGGGCAGCTCCAGCCAGTGCCTGTACGCCTCACAGTTGCAAGGAGTAAGGGGAACCTCCCATTGTGTGGATGCCACCAATCTCGGCTTAAGGAAGCCGACTCCAGCTACGTATTTTACATAGCTGGATCTGCGTACCATAAGCCAACCTTCTAGGTCTAGCCTAGATATAGCAGGATTGATGTGTGTTGCACTGTAGCCTAAGCAGTTGTAAGTGTTCTATGATGAATCATTTGCATTCAATCTTTTTTATCCATGCTATGGGGCATTACTAAGCACAAGTCAATGCAGACATGCAAAGCTATCTATATCGTATGCAGAGGTGAAAGTAAGCGGAAGCACCCCGGTGTGCAGCTCTGGCAAGAGCTGGCTGAGCTGTGGCAAAAGCCAGCAGGGAGCCATTGAAAGAGCTGGCAGGGACTCAGATTGCAATAGGGCAGTACCTGTAAGAAGTTTTAAGTTGCTCTGACCGCTGATCGTGTGCAAGTCTTCCTGTTTTGGGCCTTAAAAAATTATGAGTCAGATCTCCCACTGGTGTAAGTCACCAGTTGAGAAGCTCTACATCTCGAACGATACTTTTACAGTCTAATGCTTCTCAGGCCCTAGGGTTGATTTGTTCCTTGCCTGAAGTGGTTTCACACCCGTGTAAACTTATTTACTTTATGGGAGACAGGCCTGACTCAGACTGGTGCAAAAGAGATTCAGTATCAGGCTCACAAGTAAGGAGACGGAATAGGGTAGAAATTTGAAAATTAATAGTGTTGCACATCTAGATAGTCTTGATGTAGTTTGGTTTGGAACTAAGCCTGGGTTTCAGTAATGGCCCCAAGTCATGGATGGCATTTTATTATCTTGGATTTGCTCCTTCTCTTTCTTTCTCATTATTTCCTAGTCCATTTTTATATTTTGGGGGTTGATTTTGCAAGGCATGGAATGCTTCTCATAACCAAAGTGAGAAAGTGGGTTAAAACTCACAGAGAATGCTAACCTGGAGTACTAAGGGCCAGAGCAGCAAAGCACTTAAGCAGGTGCTTAACTTTGAATCAATGTGACAATATGATCTGAAATTAATCACATGCTTAATTGCTTTGCCGAATAGGGATGCCCTTCTGAATGGAGGCCAAAGTGCCTGATCCTGATCTTACATCAGTTGTACCCTGGTGTACCTCCATTAACATCTGGAGAGCTACCCTGATTTATACCAGAATGATCAGAATCAGAGCAAAGGTTAAAATCCTGGCCCTACTGGAACCTTTGCCATTGACGTCAAGAAAGCCCATATGCCCTATTCATTTGAGAAATCAGGTGGGATTCTCTAATTCACTTTCTCCCACTTAATTCACATTCACTTTCTCTCACTTAACTTAAAAAGGATAAGGCCAACATTTCCAAGCATACACTTAGGGCTGTTTTATTTCCCCATTTAAGTAAATCTATTTCCTAACATTAATATAGCTATTTTGGTGCAGGTTTGGGTAAGGACACATTTTGGAATCAAAGTAACCAAAGTCTGTCTGTTACCGTATTTGGCTGAACATTTTGGGCAAATTTCATGCTGTTCCATGTTTGAAATTCTGAACTTTTTCCCTTAGTAAGAGTTTGATGCATGTTTTTTGCAGAAAACATCCCTCTACCTGTTCCATATTTCTAATGACCCCAACAGAAAAGATCTCAAAATATGTTCATCCAAGCCTGCTCCATTACTGAATTTACTGTCATTGCAAGTGCATTCTTTAAAATAAGAACAAAATATGTGCAGCTCCTAGAACAAAATAATGCTCTGTCTTGACCAGCCATAATTTTATTTATATATTTTTTCTCTGATTAAAGAAGGCTTAAAACCAATCAGTGGGTCATTGTGCCAGTATGTACCTCTTCTATAATGTGTGTCTCAAAACAATACTTTCTCTCATAGGACAGTATGTTCCTCCAAAATTATGCATTCATTTTGCTCATCTTTTCCAGGTCTGACTGTGTGAGATGTTTCTACAGAAGCGTTCTGTAACTGATGGTGTAAATGCATTGTGTGTATGTATTCTAAAGTTTAAATAGATTGTACATATTGAATTGTAAATGAACTGTAAACAGCAATCTATATTTTCTTGAATATATTATATAGCAGTATATATTTGTTAAATAAGCATTCCTGTATACTCTTCATTAATCTTTTTAATATTTTGTACAGATAAGTTTATTAAATATTTTATGGATATGTTTTTCTGAAAAAATTTCTTCCTTTTGAGGATTTTTTTGTGTTGAAAAATGGAAAATGTTTGGTTATGAACATCCCTAGTCTTGCTGTGTAGCTAAAGAGTATCTATTTCCTGGTTTATCTGGGATATTAAAAGCACAAACAAATGCAGTGTAAAATTAACTGCTTTTTCTTTTCTAACCCAAACTTTGGTCTATTTGCTGTGCCACATCCCTACTGCCTCATCTGCTATTGATACAGACTACTGATCTTGGCTAATAGACAAGAAATTCACAATGAAACCAATGGCAGCTTCTCAGGGTTCAGGGTCGAAAGGGATTACTGCTTTAGTTCAAACAGTAGATGGTTGTGCTGTGGTGCTCATTTGCTCTAGGTGGTGTAGCTCTAGGTGGTACAGCCTACTTCCTACTCAAGACTGATTGGACAGCAAACATTAGTCATGTACGAGAAAGGGTGGAAAAAAAGGAGGCAAGAATCCAACTCCATTATCTTCCAGTGTAAGTTGGGCATCTAACTCTCTTAGACCTTGTCTACACTACAGTATGTCAACCTAAGTTACGCAACTGTAGCTTCATGAATAATGTAGCTGAAGTTGACATACTTAGATCTACTTACCGTGGTATCTTCATCACAGTAAGTCAACAGCTGACGCTCTCCCGTTGACTCTGTTTACTGTTCTCATTTTGGTGGCGCATCAGTGGTCAATTTTTCATGTCTATTTTAGATGCAATAAATCAACGCCCTGCTGGACCAGTCGCTGCCCATTGATCCAGTAGAAAGTGAAGACATACCCTTAGGCACTTTGGAAAAACCTATCCTTAAACTGGACTTTATGCAACTGGATACTCCTCTCACTTTCAGGAATTTTCCAACAAAGTAACTCTTACGATTTCATTGCAGTTACTCTTGATTTACAGGAGTGTCAGTGAGTGTAAATTCAGGCCCTGAGAGTAAAATGGAGTTTACTACGTACAGGCTCTTATGCAGGAATTTCTGGGCGGTGGAGGGAGTGGTTTTTTTTGGTAAATGTGGACCGCAAGGGTGTGAATACACTCCCCATGGTCCCGCAAGTAAGTGGGGAAATCAGCCCCAGCCTTCTCCCGGCTGGCCAGAGCATGGGGGAGGGAGGCTCAGGCAGCGCACCACTCCTGCTTTCCCCTGGCTGGCTGGTGCATGCTTGTTTGGTAGACCATGGGGGGTGCTTTCACACATACTGGCCCCACACGTACTGGCCTGAAGTATTACTAAGAATGCCTCCTGTTAGGTCCCTACCTTATACAATATGGTAGAGCATGTTTATGTGTAAGCATGTTTATGTGGAGCAAGGCAAATTTGTGAGTACGGAAAAATCCTGAAAGGCATGAGATTTGTGTTTCATTCACAACAGACTAACATCACTTTTCAAAGCCAGAGAGAAACATATGCAGATCAGGCACTAGAAGATTGCCTGAAGTATTTAACTCTTCCAATGCTGGCATTTTCCAGGCTGAAGCTAATTTTAATGGCCTTTGGATCAGGCTCTTATACCTAGGCAGAGACTTAATTGGGAGGGTTTCCCAATTCTGTACACGACAGTGAACTCCGGGAGATGATATGGGAAGGCTTTTATACAAAGTACAGCACAGCAGGTGCGGCTCTGTCTGTGCTCAGTGATTAAATATTACCTGGCCATTGTTTCACTAATGCAAGTACTTCAATTTTCTCTCCCTCAAAGTGGAAATTTCCAAAGGAATGTGCCTGTGTTTGGCTCTGTCCTGTTTTGGAAATTGCCTGGTGCAAGCCCATAGGGTTATGAAAACAGAAGGAAACCTCCATCTAGTGAGCCACGTAACTTGTTTTCCTTTTCTCTTAGAATCTTCTCCCATGTCTGCTGTAAGTTAGAGATAAGGAAGTTTAGCATGTAAAAGGACCTTTATATGGTGCCACATATCCTAGGCTCTAGTTCAGGAAAGCACTTAAGCACATATGTAACTTTAAGCACATGAGTCACTCCCGGGAAGTCAATGGAACCATTCACGTGCTTATAGTTAGGCACATGCTTAAGTGATTTGCTGTATTGGGACATCAACCCATAATCTGCATTTGATATCCCTCTCACTTCACACTTGTCTGATCTCTTCTGTGTAAACTCACTTGTTTTGCCAGTGAAAAGTGACCCCCTACTGAAGGAACAATAGATGGAAGTAAACATTTATATAAGAAAGCCCAAACTGTGAACATTATTCCTCTTAATAACAAATGTATCTGGCACAACAGCATTGTTGGCAATTTTTAAAGGTTCCCCCCTTTAATAAAAACGAGAAACTGAGCAGGGGCATTGGGAATGCCTCTATTTCCTCTCCTCCTGCCAAACTCCATTCCGTGTGGCCTGCATACCTAAGGATTTTTGTGAAGATTGGGTTTAGTGTAGTGTATTTGAGAGGCTGGGGACATTAGGTCGAGATTTAGTGAATAGGAAAAATAAGGCGCGTTCCCCAGCTGTCATTTACATTCTGAGTTTCTTCACATAGGATAATCGAGAACCTTTCAGCAAGGACCTGAACAACAAACTACACATTGAAAAATGAGTCATGTTTTAAACAACATGCCATATTTATTAGCCTTTGCAAATTGGTAGGAAACCACAGCACAATTATTTTCTTGCAAGTACTTTTGTGCAATATACGAAATGGAAAAATCTGGTTCACTTAGCATCAGCTTGAAGACTTGAAAATGATCTCTAATTAAGACTCTCTCAAGACGAAGGTAGTGACTTTTTCCTTCTCTGTCCCATTTTTGTGCAAGCATTGTCCTCTTTCATAACTTCAGCTTGATGATGCCTTGAGCAACAATCACTTCTGGCAATTGGGCTGTATTTACTGCCACTACAGTTTTTATTTTTACTAAAGTTGTTCCAGCCATTTATGCTGGTTTAACTGTGCCTGGTCATTCACAAACTCTCCTTTGAGTCTTATTTTATCTAGATGCCAAGAAAAAGCAAGTTTTACTGTGAGCAAAGAGACTCAGAACCTCACTGTTATTGTGAGCCTGAGTGTGACCTGTGAGGCTGAGGCTAACAATACAATTTCCTGGGTCCAGCAGGTTTACACGATAATGTTTTGAGCAACTTTACTTACAATCAAACTTTGCCTCTTGTTCAGAGAGTTTGTTCGCAGGCTTTGGGCACGAGTGTGGGGGAAACAATGCAAATATGAACTGATTCTCTGAAAAATTCATTAGGTAAATGTAAACAATCGTAGAGGGCAGATTCTGCAGTGTGTCTTCTTTCACTGTCCTCTCTGCTTAGCTGCATGTCCCAGTGCAAAATCCCTACCATAACTGCTGAACTTTGCATATCTGGCACACTTCTTCAATACTAGGGAACCTCACCAAACCATGTACTCTATGACTCATACCAAGAGGAAGTGTTGGAAGCAAAAAAATAATAGGCTAGGTGGTTCAGGAGCTTAAATCTATTGACTTTCACTGAGATGTAGACTCCAAAGTCACTTTTGAAAAAGGGACTATGGCTCCCATATCAAGTAGTAGTTTGTGAAAATTCTGCAGTCACTACGTTATAAAGTAGGATAATTAAAACAAAATAATTGATGTCAAATTACAAGCAAGTCCTTTGTAATTGTCGTGTAATTGTTTTACTTTTCTTACTGTTTGGTCACTATCTCCTAAAGGTCCCAAATGAGCAAACCACTTAACATACATATACCTTCAGATATTTAGCATCTCATCCCCATTCAGCAAAGCACTAAGCATCAGCTGAAATTCTGTGTATGTTCATGGGATTATTCATAAATTAAACATGAGCTTTAACATTTGATTGGATCAGGGCCTAATTAATAAAATTAATTCATTTTCAATTAGTTGCCAGTCATTACTGCAAATTAGCAAGGTTTTATTGTATTCTTACAAAAACAATGAAGAGTCCTGAGGCACTTTAGAGACTAAAAGATTTATTAGGGCATTCTTATGGTATTTATTAGGGTATTCTTACAGTAAACTGACACTTTCGCTCTCTTTTGCAGCTCTGTGCCTTACATCTTGATTAACCCCTTAGCACCAGAGAAGCTGGATTTTCCTGGTGAAAAGTCTGCTGTTCTCAGTGTGAAAAGAATAATGTTTCTCATACTGCCGATCAGATCAATCAGCACAATACACAGAGATTGATTTTCAGATGTTCTGATGAGTTCCAATTGGCTTCAAAAAGAGGTGCAGAGGGTAGGGGGCAGCAGTACATCTGAAAACGAGGCACTTTCATGTTAGCGCCAGGCAGAGTAGCATATTTCCAGACTTCAGCCATGCGGAATCAGCTCCCAGGAGGAAGGACTTGATTCATTCATAAAATTCTCATTAGCCTTAGAGCAAACAGATTTAATAAAGTCATAAGGGATTATTCAGCAGCAGATCTAGCTATTACTGACCAACTCTGCCTTCATGATAGGTCTCAGTGCAATCAGTGGGATTTACTGTGGGATCATCATTTAACAGGGCACAAGAGAACAACAATACAAAGAGAATACACAAGGTTTGTGTCCTGTGAAGTCAGCTCCTCATCTGCTATCCATGAATAATGCACTGTGGACAAGCATACACCATAGGTTTTCTGTTTTCAGGCTTCAGTGGTTGCTAGTTGTAAGATTTTCTGTCTCTGGAAGGGCCACTTAAAATCAGCTGAATGTTTACAACCTGATTCCATATACTCATTATACAGCAAGGAACAAACATTTAATTCAATCGTATCAACACAAAATTACAGAAGAATCTATTGAACTCAATGCTGACATTTGTTGCTAATGTACACACGTAGGCTTCACTCTGCCACATGGAGTATCTACGACAGCACATAGGTTCAGAAGCTGCAGCGAAAAGTACATCCAGAATGACTGCACATCAGAACCTGGGGCCTGTTTGACCAGACATATAACTGTAGATTTCAAAAACGGACACAGTACCGTAAGGCAACAAAATATAGTCTATTGCCACTATGGCCCTGTTGAGGGAAGGCAGCTTCTATGAGTGTGTCATAACCATGAGCAAGTTAGTTTCACAGAAAAGTTTGATGGGACAATTGCCTCAAACACATTCAGCTTTTGCCATTACTGATTGTCTAACATTTCAACATTAAGCAGCATCTTTCTGTTTTGTTAGACACAAACATCATCCATAAATTAACTGGTTAGTTTCAACAACCAAGCCAGCAAATGGTGCAAGAGGTCATTTAATCCTACCAGCTGTTATACAGCCCTGGAATTCTGAAGACAAGTTCACAAAAACCTAGAAATTGGATTCTGCTAGTTTGCTTTTAATTGTCTGAAAGTAACAGAGGAACTTACCAGAAATGACTCTCTCTCTCTGTGTGTGTAATCATATAAAAGAATAGCAAGAAGAGTATTCTTGGGTTATCCAGTCTGACCTCCTGCATCGACAGGCTTTCGTCATCATCTCTTCTAATGCCTTATTTAAATTCTTAGTGGATCATACAAGTTAGAAATGAATAAGACATACTAGGTCAGGCCTGCACAACATGGTCCGAGGGCCGCATGCGGCCCACAGGGGCTCACTGTGCGGCCTGTGACAACTACGGGCAGTGCGGCCCCATCCGATCCACCAGCCGGGCAGAGGAGCAAAGTGCCACTGAGAAAGGAGAAGTGCGGCGATTCTCATGATGTCACAGCCAGCAACTGCCAGATTCAAAAAGGCAGAAGTCAGGTAGAGGAGGGGAAGAGGCTTGTGCTGAGGGGAGGGGGGCAGGTCAGGAGAAAGGGGAGGACACCAAGGGGCAGGGTAAAGGAGAGACAAATGCCAGGGGGGCCAAGTGGAGACATGCAGAAGTGTATTTTTTTTTTGGCTCAGCAAAAATTTTTAGCCGTATGTTTGGTATTTTTTGGGAGAGCATCCCTACTTGCGCATAACTGTTTTCTTTGGAGCAATACGGCCCTCGTCGCTTTCCGAGTTGTGCAGGCCTGTACTAGGTCAACTGTCTCCCTGCTCGGGAAGGATTGTTTCTTTTATTATCAAGTGCTTTTTCTATTTGTAAATGTCTCTGGGGACTCAGATTTTTATCTTTTTCTTTGAGAGACTACAGGAAACTCTCACCATTCATGTGGATGTGTTCCTAGCACCACTGTAAATGACGAAATGACCACTGGGAGCCATGACTCCCAGCCCCCGCGGTGAGCTCCCCATGGCTCCTGCACTCACCCCGGGCCTGGGAGCCATGGAGAACAGACCATGGGGGTTGGGAGCTGCAGGGAACTCATCACAGCTTCTGGCAGCCCCAAGCAACTCAAGTTGATGAATTCATTGCAGTTCTGGCAGCTGCAAGGAACTCACTGCAGAGGCTGGGAGTCAGGGTGAGTTCTCTGCAGCTCCTAGTTCCTGCTGCCCCTCAACCGCCATGGCTTGAACAAGAGCGAATACACAAAACCGCAAATAGCAATTCTGTGAATTGCAAGAGTGTCCTGTATTTCACAGTCTCATTGCTAGGACACTTTTCTTCAGTTCACTTGTCTGGTGCAAACTTTGATGGAGCTATTCTTATTTACACATCTGAGGATCTGGGCCTATAAGTTTTGTCTGCACATCCAGTTGTGACAGAAATGCTGGCCATTTTCTTATTGGGAATTCATCAACTTGTGCATTTAGGTCAAGAGTTTTAAAGTTGTACCTCCACTAGAATTAGGGACCTACCATTTGTATTTAGGAACATGACAAAAGTGGCTTGATTTTTGTAAAGGCACTGAACATATGCAGTACCACTGAGAACCATGCCACTTATGAAAGTGGATTAATATGGATTTAGCTGTTTAACTTAAGACATTCCACATAGACGCGTCTGACTTTGCGTCTTTCCTTTCCTTGCTCTCTTTTTGAACTTCTAGCACTTATCAGCCATATGTCCAGAAATATGTCCTGGTGGTTCTAATACCAATTTTTTGGACAGTGCTATCAGCTGATTTTATATTTGATAGAATCCCTGAAATACCTAGTAGAGTCTGCATGGTGATCCAATATCATTGTGCGGATGAAGCTACACTTTAGGCTAGTCGGTGCACTTTATCCTTCTGTAAGACGACGCAGTAGAAAACAAGCCATAAATCTATCCTGCGCAGAAAGATTAGGGTCAGACTCTGACAGTGAATTACACATTCACAAAAGGATAATTTCCCCCCCTCGTCACTGAGTGTTTATAATCTGGTCAGAATGTCTTGTAACCAGCCTGTAATCATGGCAGCCATCTCCCTGCTGGCATCCAGGACAAACGCATGGCGGATTCCCTTCTCACAGAGCCGAATGTCCCCATCTGGAAAATCCATCTTGATCTCCTCAAAATACTGTTGGGGGCACCAATTGTCTGCAGCTCCATAATAGAAAATCAGCTAGAAATCAAAGCAGAGAGAAAATGTTCATTTGAAAAGGGAAATAAGGGGAAACGGCATGTTCCATTATTGCTGCTACTGATCACGATAAAACCATTTTGCCTTGCCATACCCCAGTTTTCCCATATGACAAACTAGGGATATTGATACTTACCGTGCTTTGAAATCACTTGGGGTATGTCTACACTTGCCCCCTAGTTCAAACTAGGGAGGCAAAGGAAGCATACCAAAGTTGCAAATCAAGTGTGGGATTTAATTATCCCATGCTTGATTATCATATTCGCGGCCGGTCACCAATTTAAAATGCTGGTCGTCCGATTTAACTTGCCGCATGTAGACGTGGTGGTCCAATTTAAAACCCTTCCCTCGAATAAACTGGTACTCCTCATTTGTCATAGTTGTTGACTTGTGAGCATCATTCTAACATGATTCAAGGGTTTTGTGTAAAATGGTAGAAGTTTTTGCTTTTAACTAGTATGTCATCGTCATCATCAGGTGGGAACTGGACCTTGTAATTGGTGCAAAACATGCTGTATTTTATCTACTTATCCCATACTTAATAACATGATATCTGAGCAGTGTGAGCATCTCACAATCTTTAATGTGTTTATCTTCACTTTACCCCTGTGAGGTATTATCCCCATTTGCATTTGGGAAACCAAGACTGAGATGATTAATGACTTGTCCAATGTCTACAGAATGTCTCTGGCAGACCAGAAATCTGAAGTCAGGATTTCCCCAAGTCCTAAGTTAATGCTGTAATCAATGGACCATATTCCAAGCTATTAGAAAAGTAAAAAAAAAAAAAAAAAAATCTTTCTTAGAAACCATTTCACAAACCTTCCAGCATTGTTTCTAATTTTCATAACCAGCTTTTATAGCAGGTTATAATGGATAAAATTTTGTCTTACACATGGGTGGGCAATAATTTTTAATCGGGGGCACTCAAAGATTTTGCCAAGTGGTCAAGGACCGCACTTCTATGGGGTCTGGGTCAGTGGGTGGGGTGTAGAAGGGAGCTTGGGATAAAGGACTGGGGTGCAGGAGAGGGTTGTGATCTGGGGAAGGGGCTTAGGGTGCAGGTCCAGGAGGGGGTGTGGTTGCAGGAGAGGATTCTGGACTGGGGGAGGGGTATATGAGGAGATACAAGGTCTGGGAGGGAGTTGTGACCTGGGAGAAGGGGAAAAGGTGTGCAGAGGGTTTGGGGAGTGACCTGGGGCAGGAAGTTGGGGGGAGAGAGTTCTGGGGTGTCAGAGGCAGGTTCTGGCTGGGAGTCACTTACCTAGGTGGCTCCCAGCCAGCAGCCCTGCAGAAACCTGAGACAGGCTCCATGCCTGTCTGCTGGGCTGGCTGCTCCACGTGGCTCTGCTCCAGCACAGGGAGATGGGAGTGAGGGAGTGAGGATGCTTAGCACTGCCACTGCCTCCAGCAAAATTTCTCAGCTCCTATTGGCCGTAAACTGCCCAAAGGGAGCTGAGGGGTTTTGCTAGGGGGCCGGGGCAGTGCGTGACGCTTCCCTCTCGATCCACAGCATCCATAGCAATTAGCAGTTAGTTGTTTAAAGCAGCACGAGCTGCTCCGTGCGTTGTACAAAATGTTTGAATGCAAGTACGAAAAATATGTTGATTTCTCACTGGGTCACATGTACAGCTTGGTTCAGTTATATTAATGATATTTGTTGCATGTTTCATTTCTGAGCTTCAGCACATAACTGAGCAACACAAACAAACCAGAAGACAAACAGAACTGTTCTAAATCACTGGTTCAATTTTAAACCATTCTGTAATAATCTGAAATGGAAAAAAATCACCTCATTGTATAGCAGTGCAGAGGTGGGCAAGGGGCCAAAATTTGAGTACGGGTGGCATTTCACAAAATATGTAAGGTTTTGTCTCATGTCTTTTCCTGTCATTGAAATTCACCAACCCAAATTTTGGAAACAGTGGACTACTAGCTGTATCAGAACTTCAGAGAGATAGCTGAGTTAGTCGTAAGGGTATGTCTACACAGCAAAGTTATTTCGAAATAACAGCCGTTATTTCAAAATAACTTTACTAGCATCTACACAAGTCAACTGCTATTTCAAAATTAAATTGAAAAAGGGGAGGGCTTATTTCGAACTTGGTATACTTCATTCCACAAGGAATAGCGCCTATTTAGAAATTGCTATTTCAAAATAAGTGCTGTGTAGACGTGGAATAGGGGCTATTTTGTAATGGGGGGGCCTCCTGCCCTTTCTAGGGTGCCCTGCTGGCCACTCTGGCCCCAATCAGGAAAACTCCTCTCCTCTCCCCGTCCCTGGAGCCCTTAAAGGGGTAGAGTCTGGCCACAGTGTCTGTGCCAGCTCCAGGCCTGCCAGCCCAGAGCCAGCACTCGCTGCCCCTGACCCAGTGGCCCCAACACGAGCCAGCAATCCACTGCCAGCCAGCCCCCAGGAGCCTGCTAGGGGACGGAAAAGGCAAGCGCCTTCCTGGTCCAGTGCGGAGATCAGGGACCTCACTGAGGTTTGGAGGGATGCCTCCAACATCCATGATGAGGTTTGGGGGAATGTGACCATCTACATGCAGATAGTTGCCAGCCTGGCCACCAAAGGCCACATCCGAACCTAGGAGCAGGTTTGGATGAAAATTAAGGAGCTGCGGTAAGCATATGCCAGGGCCACAGGGGACAGCTCCCAAACAAGGGCAGACCCAGACACCTGCCCCTATTTTGATGCCCTGGACTGCATCTGGGGTGGGGATGGGGTGACAGTCTGTGTCTCCCAGGTGGTCATTGACCCTGTGGAACAGGGCCCTGATCAGGGCACAGAGGAGGAGGAGGGCCAGGAGCTGCAGGAGCCCGGAGGGAGCGTGCTGCACAGCGAGGACCCCCGAGCCGTCCCATCGACCCTGACGCCTGTGTCGTCCGAGGCCGGGGAGGCAACAACACGTGAGTGCCATCACTGTCCCCTTATGCGGGGGCGGGAGGGGAGGGAGACCAGGGACTGCGCGCGTAGGCCTTGCTGGCCATGGATCACGCAGCAACCTGTGCATGTGTCATGCCACCTCTGGGCACATGGTCCCAGCTGGCTGCCACACAGGGGCCTCGACCTGTTAGCCACACGCATGTGTGTATGAAGGCATATGACATGCTCCTGACCCCGGGGTAGGACACAGCAGGACGCCCTCCCTCCACAAGCCCCCTCTACACAGAAGCAGGGGACATCTCCTCCCTCCCCCTCCCCTGCATACACAGACCCACACCTCATATAGCACAGGGGCATGAGTGTACTCCAGGGCCAGTTCCCACTCCGGGGGATAGCAAGACATCCCGAACATGGCCTCTGTGCTAGCACATTGGCTCTGATGGTGCGGAGACCTGTAGTCCTTGCCTTGCAGAGGGGGGCTAGGCTTCACCCACTGTGTCCCCAGGGATAACTGACCACTTCTCTTGTTTGTCCACAGCCGCACCAGCTGCGAGTGCAGATCACACCACGCCGCCCGGGACATCCTCCCACACCCGGGCACTCTGCAGGCTGACCTGCACCTGGGGATACTGCAAGGTCTGCACCACACCCTTGACCACTGGGTGCATGAAGACCTGCAGCTCCGGTAGGAGCTGCTTGCCCAGGGCTGTGCCATCTGCAACCACCTGCAGACCCCTGTGAAGAGATTGCTGCCTCCTGCTGCTCCAGCCCCTGCTGCCTCCCCAGCTACCGCTCCTCCTTCCACTCCTTGTCCCCATCCCACTTCTTCCTCCACACCCTCCATCCCCTCTGGGGACCCTGAGGCCCCCGCACCCGCAGTGCTGGGAGACAGGTGGGCCGGCAAGACCCTGAGCTTCTCCTCCCCCTTCCTCCCCTTGCCTCCCTCTCCCAGCTCCCTTCTCCCAGGTTTACCCCTCCCCTCTCCCACCTTCTTCCCTCCCCCACCTTCTTCCCTCCCCTCTCCCGCCTTCTTTCCCCAGTCTCACCTGAGTTTCATTCCTGCCCACCCCAGTTTTGTTCAATAAAGACAGTTTGTTTTCTTGAACACGTGTCTTTATTGTACATCAGGAAGAAGGGTTAGGGAGGGGTAAGTGGAAGGACGTGAGGATGGAATGAGGCACAAGACCTCATTGGGGCTCACCAGGGAAACTTAAATCCTCCTCCAGGTGGAAGCTCTCCTGCAGGCTCCCAGATACAGCTCCCATGGGGACGTGCATAGAGGCCAGCCAAGTGGTCGGCCTCTGCCATTCAAGTTGGCAGGAAAGCCTCCACTGTTTTCTCATACAAAGCCCCCTGATCGGCCTCCCGGCTGGCAGCCATGCGGGGCTGCGTGCACATGCCGGCCAAGTGGTCGGCCTCTGCCATCCAGCATGGCAGGAAAGCCTCCCCCTTCCTCTCGCACAAATGCAGCACACAGCATGCTGCCACCACATGCGGAACATTCCGCTCTGAGAGGTCCAGGCAGGTGAGGAGGCATCTAAAACAGGCCTTCAGCCGGCCTAGGGCACCGTTGACCACAATGCAGGCCCTGCTGAGCCTGGCATTAAATGCCTGTTGGGAGGGGTTGAGGTGTCCCGTGCATGGCTTCATGAGCCAGGGTTGTAGGGGATAGGCTTCATTCCCCACCAGGCACAAAGGCATGTCCACTTCCCCAACCCTGATGTGGTGGTTGGGGAAGAAAGTCTCGGCATGCAGCCTCTGGCACACGGAGGAGTTGCGGTAAACCCACGCGTCATGTGCTCTGTTGGACCAGCTCACATTGATGTCCACGAAGTGGCCCCGGTGGTCAGACACAGCCTGCAGGATGACTGAAAAGTATCCCTTCCGGTTGATGTAGAGGGAGGACTGGTGTTCTGGGGCACGGGATAAGTGTCCTGTCGATTGCCCCCCCACAGTTGGGGAAGCCCAGAGAGCCAAACCCCTTGATGACTGCGTCCACATCAGTGAGGCGGATGACTCTGTGGAGCAGCACTCTGTTGATGGCCTTGACCACCTGCACAGGGACACACAAAAGTGAGAGTCACTGGGGGGCCAG